CTTGTTGAACAAATTTATTGTCCTGTGGAGTTGATTTAACTTCCAGACACGTTTTGTTTAATAAATATTAAAGATTTAATGGCTGTTTATGGAAGATATTATATAAATTCACATTCTACTTCTTAATATCACCAATTAAATTTGCGACAATTTGAGCCATGAAATGCGACGACTGGATCACTGTGTACAGGAGGCTGATATGGCAGCAAACACTCTCCAGGCGACCATATATCTTGGATAAGTCGCTCCACACAATTGTCGCTTGGACCGTCGACTTCCTATGGCGTCACCTCTCACATATTTACTATAAAATAAATAAATAAATAAATAAATAATATTTACGTCTCATTTCGTTATGAAATTAGATTATTTCAGAGTAAAAATAGGTTTGATCATGTTCTACGTGTAGAGCCAACATTATAGTAAGTAAATATACCATATTTCTTCATTACTTACGTAATGCTAGGACGATTTGTGTAGTTTTGGGCCGATTTGGGTAATTCTATGGACCGCTCTCGACCGGGCGGGACTCGAAACTTAAATTAAAATTGCTATATCATTGGTCTCCAACATGATATATTTTCTTTGATGCACTCACAATAACGATTATAGCTCTGTCCTTCTGGAGGCATGTAATATTTTAGGCTTTATTAGCGTATCTTTGTTAATTACACAACATATTGGCAAGAATTCTCAAAGAATTACTCATTATTGCTATCTAAGATAATTAGACGAGCCAAAACTAAATACTACGAAGATAAATTTACCCAAATAAAGAGCAACATTAAACAAACTTGGAGAACAATTTCACAAATATTGGGATCAAAGAAGTCTTTAAATAACAAACCGACTCTCCTGTCTAATAACGATGGTCAGCTTTCAGCCTCTGATTCTGCTATTGAGTTCAATAGGTTCTTCTCTTCCATTGGTTCATCCCTTACTAATGATATTCCATCTTCCAGTACTGACATTAAGGACTATCTTACAGGGAACTATCCACAGTCTCTGTACCTAAAGCCTATTAATTCCACTGACGTCAATGAGATAATCCTTTCCCTTAAAACCAAGTCTAAAGTTGGAGATACCAACTTTAATCTACAAAAAAGCCTCCAGATCTTTAGCCCCTGCTATTGCTTTGCTCTTCAACAAGTCACTTGAACTCCAAACCTTTCCAGATATTCTAAAAAAAGCGAGAGTAATGCCTGTCCACAAATGTGGTGATCTCACAGATGTTAACAACTACAGACCTATATCAATCCTGCCAAACTTGTCAAAAATTTTTGAAAAACTAATCTATAAGCAGCTTTACTCATATCTAGCCAAACTCAATATACTTAGCCCTTGCCAATATGGCTTCAGGCCCAAAAAAAGCACTAACGATGCACTTATTAGTATGCTTAACTCGATTCATACAGCTCTTGATAAAAATGAGTTCCCTGTTGGGTTATTTGTGGACCTGCGTAAAGCTTTCGATACTGTCAACCACCAAAACCTTCTTCTTAAATTACATCATTATGGTGTCAGAGGACACTCCCTACAATACCTCAAATCCTACCTTACTGACAGGCTCCAATGTGTTTCTGTGAATAATACAATTTCTCCCACCCTACCCATCAACATTGGTGTTCCCCAGGGCAGCATACTTGGCCCTCTCCTCTTTCTCATCTACATTAATGATCTTCCAAATGCCTCCCAACACCTCAAACCAATTCTATTTGCTGACGACACAACCTTCATTTACTCCAGTCCTGATCCCCTTGCTCTAAATGCCACAGTAAATACTGAGCTAAATAAAGTCCATCTGTGGCTAACTGCCAACAAACTCACCCTTAACATTGACAAAACTTTCTATATTCTGTTTGGCAATAAATCCTCTAATCAAATAAATCTCAAAATAAACAATACCCAAATTTGTAACAAATTAGATGGCAAATTCCTTGGCATTCTCATTGACCACAAGCTGAATTTCCAGGGACACATTCTAAACATATCAAAAAAAGTTTCAAAAACTGTGGGCATTCTTTCTAAGATCAGATATTATGTACCACGCCCTGCCCTGGTGACTATTACTCCCTTATCTATCCATATCTCAACTATGGTATTTGTGCTTGGGGCTCTACTACCCAAAATCACTTACGTCCTCTAATTACTCAACACAAAGCTGCAATTAGGACAATATCCAATTCTGGCCCCAGACATCACTCGGTACCCCTACTCAAATCTCTGAATATGTTAGACATTAAGTCACTGCACATTCTCTCATGTGTATTATACATATATAAAACGCTAAACTATAATACCAATCCTGATCTCAAAAGCTTCATAGAAGGTTGTAACAGAACCCATGAGCACCACACCAGAAATAAATACAGTTTTGATATTCCAAGAGTACGACTTAATCAAACCAGAAATGCTCTACAAATCAAGGGGCCCAGAATGTGGAATGACCTTCCCAACCATGTTAAAGACTGTACTTCTCTCAACCAGTTTTTCTCTCCCGGCCACACCAGAGCAAATGTGACCGGTATGGCACCCCCGAGATCCTTCAGTGGGTCAGGGATTACACCGGTGCCAATGCTGTCTCTGCCTCTTCAATTACTTTGAATTGGAGAGGTGGGTTCAGCATCGAGAGTGCCCGTGTTCTGAAAAGGTTGGGCTTGACCAGCGGAGACTTGGAGATCTGCTCCGTAAAAGCCCTAACCTGGACCTATTCCATCTATCGTATGTGGTCCAAGAGCACGGGGAGGGGTTGATCATGATCACCCCTGGACGGGCATGGGTGGACTTCCCTTGTGCCCCGAATCCCAAAGGTATCAGGGTGAGTGGACTCCGGGCTAAGCCTACGGACGTCATCTTGGGGTACCACTTCCCCAGTGGCTTTATTCTGGAGATGGTGAGTGGCTTGACCGAACCCGTGAGAAGATAAGCTACGGCTGGAGGGACACATGTGCGCATGTGTTCTTGTCTTCTCCGGGGACTTGACTAGTTCAAGCCAGGCATGCCCTCCCCGTGACTTATTTTGTTCATGCGCGCATGACATTAAAGTTGATCCTCTCCTTGTGAGAGGAATGCATTCTTTTAGTGGCATGCCATTTTATGTTATTTGTGTCATATTTTTATACCATCCTCTTTTTTATATCTCCAGGTGCATTTATTTTTATTTTTGTTTAGCACATAAGTAGGCCACGACACTAGTTTTATTTTGTTTTAGTTGTAATATGTTTTTAGGGTGAGATGCTGCGGGGCCTCGCGGCCCATGCCTTGTGGCTGGGTCGTGGGGCTCTATAGCTAGAATAAAACCCTTTTCCCCCCCGAAGTGGCAAGGGGAGTAAAAGGGGACAAAATAAAAACGAAGCTATACCTAATAAATTCCCTGTAACCTACCTTACCCCTCTGTTGTCAACCCATGTATGTTTTTTGTTTTTTTTTGTTTTTCAAATCAACGCTGTTTGAATGTAATTTTCTGTAATAATTTGTAATTGTATTTGTGCTGCTTTTTCAACAATGTTCCCCCCTCTTTTACCTCTATTTTTATTTGTACTCAACACATTTTATTCTTTTTACCCATTAGTTTTAAGCTTTAGTCATTAGTGTTTTTTCCTGCCCGAAACGCTTTGCGTAATAGTGGCTTTAGGCATTGTATGTACTAGCTCTATCTAGAAAGCCAACAAACTTTGTAAAATCTCTTTATGTATGTACCTTTACCTAAATAAAAATTATTATTATTATTATTATTATTATTATTATTATTATTATTATTATTAAGTGCGTAGGCGTCTGCACTCCATGACCGAAAAGCTACTGAACGCCACTATAAAAACATATATATCTTCACTTGAGCTTTAAATATGTCTAATGTAATGTATTTTAAATAAAGCTTATATTTCTATCTTTCTTAAGACGTGTAAAACATTTGTGTTTATTAACGAATTTACGTAAAATAAACATTCTTCTGAGAGAGTTGCTCTGTCGCTCAGTCTATGCGGGGGTCGGAGCTCGGCGATTATTACAATACATGAATCTTCATTAGAACTTTAATTATGTCTATGATAGTGTTTAAAATGAGCCTTATATTCCTATCTTTCTTGAGGCATATAAAAAATTTACGATTATTTACAAATTTACGTGAAATAAGCATTGTTCTGAGAGAGAGTTGCTCCGTCGATCGATCTGTCCGGAGTCGGAGCTCGGCTATTATAAAAGTACACGTATCTTCGCTTTGAATTTAAATATGCCCATGGTAAGGTATTTAGAACGAAGCTTATATATCTGTCTTTCTTGTGACATATAAAACTCTTACGTTTATTAAGGAATCTGCGTGAAATAGGCATGGTTCTGAGATGAATGCTGCGGTTTTCGAGTTTGACGAGCGATGAAAACTGCCACTTTTATACAACTACAAATATCTTCGGTTTTACTTAAAATATTTGTCTGGTAGAGGTTTTACATATAGATCGCGTTTCTGTCTTTCTTCTGACTAATAAATAATTTTGGTTTAATCAGTTATCAAGATGTTTTCAACAATATTCTTTCAGCGTTCGTCTTTTCCAACTTGGGCGACCCTTTTGGAAGCGCGATACTTGGGTTAACCCATCCTATAGTTGGGTCTGTTTCCAACTGGGGTTCGAATATCCTTACCACACACACAGAGATCACACTAACGTGATGCATCAATGAACAAATCCTTATCCTTACCCCTTCCAAATGCAATAAAACCATAATAACTCCTGACTATCCCTTGATAATTAAAAAAGAAAAAAAAATTCCTGCCCGAAACGCTGCGCGTACTAGTGGCCTTACAAGAGTGCAATTACTGTACTATGCTATATATTCTCACAAACCCAATGTACCTTCTTGTATATAAATAAATAAATAAATCAATAAATAAATAAATAAATAAATAAATAAATAAATAAAATTGTTTGTGAACGAACGGGTTTGTTTTTTTTCCCCTCCGTTGTGTACTAAAGACTACTGTATACGAAAGGACTTAGTTCCCGGGAAGAAGCATGATGGCGTGTATTGTGACTGGGGCGAGGAGCAGGGCCTCGCCATGACCGCCTCGCCCACGCCCCCGCCCACCCCACGCCCGCCTGCCCCACAGTCATGGCCACCTATGATGACAGGCAGTGGATCCTGGCACACATACAGAACTCTTACGTGACCAGCGATGACACAGGTGGGTTATGGGAGGTGGGTCCCGGGTGGGATGGTTGGTTGGGGGGGGGGGCGGACACACGCGGGTGTCCCTGGGATAGTCTATTGTGTCATGTGTCCCTGGGATAGTATATTGTGTCATGTGTCCCTGGGATAGTATATTGTGTCATGTGTCCCTGGGATAGTCTACTGTGTCATGTGTCCCTGGGATAGTCTATGGTGTCATGTCTCTTGTCTGTGTCCCTGGGATAGTCTACTGTGTCATGTCTCTTGTGTCCCTGGGATAGTCTGTGTCATGTCTCTTGTCTGTGTCCCTGGGATAGTCTACTGTGTCATGTCTCTTGTCTGTGTCCCTGGGAGAGTCTGTGTCATGTCTCTTGCTTGTATCCCAGGGATATTGTACTGTATCATGTACTGTATCCCAGGGTTAATGTACTGTATCATGTCTCTTGCTTGTATCTCAGGAATATTCTACTGTATCATGTCTTGAGATTTTTTTTTTAAACCTTACTTCCCTGCCTGACGACTGAGTGGACAGCGCTGCAAATTCATAGTCCTGTGGTCCTGGGTTCGATCCCGGGCACCGGCAAGAAACAATAGGTTGAGTTTCTTTCACCCTATGCCCTGTTACCTAGCAGTAAAATAGGTACCTGGGTGTTAGTCAGCTGTCACGGGCTGCTTCCTGGGGGTGGAGGCCTGGTCGAGGACTGGGCCGCGGGGACACTAAAGCCCCGAAATCATCTCAAGATAACCTCAAGATGATGCAACCACAACAAAGATAATGAAGTTACTTTAAGTCCTTCCTGTGACACATCAACGACAGCTATTCAACAGCTAAGTGTAGCAAGAGACTCCAGTCTAATGCCGTTCTCAAGTGTAACCACAGGATCCTTTCTGTAGTCGCTTTGACCTGAATAAATTGAGTGCTGGGTGAGCCGGTGGCTGAGCGGACAGAACACTGGATGTGTGATCCTGTGGTCCCGGGTTCAATCCCAGGCGCTGGTGAGAAACGATGGGCAGAGTTTCTTTCACCCTGATGCCCCTGTTACCTAGCAGTAAATAGGTACATGGGAGTTAGATAGCTGCCACAGGCTGCTTCCTGGGGGCTGTGGAACAAAAAAGAGGCCTGGTCGAGGACCGGGCCGCACGGGCACTAAAGCCCTAAAATCATCTGAAGATAACTCAAGATAACCTCAAGAAATGAACTAACTGAACAATACGGAGTGTTCACAGAGGACAACAAATGCAAACAAAGAGCTACGTGCAGCTCTGCGATATAAAGTCGTTAATCACAATTGCAACAAGAAGAAGGCAGGTTATAAGACGAGTCTCCGGTAACCTATCAGTTACGTACCACTCTTTGCAGCACATCTGCAATTAGTTGGAATGCAATCAAACTAGTAGCCCTGTGCATTGACATTACAAAGCAAATAAGACAAGGCCAGGTGGGTTCCTTAGACACTTCTCCGGTAACCCCAAGTTACTTTAACTCACGTCTCCAGAGACAATAATCAAGCAAATGCCTTAATCATTTCCATTAATTTACAATGATAATTATGTTAATTGACTGTCAACACCAGTCAGCAACAAAGCATTCTACGTTAGTTACAAAGCTTGTTGACCAGACCACTCACTAGAAGGTGAAGGGACGACGACGTTTCGGTCCGTCCTGGACCATTTTCAAGTCGATTGTGAGGATGGTCCAGGATGGACCTAAACGTCGTCGTCCCTTCACCTTCTAGAGTGTGGTCTGGTCAACATACTTCAGCCACTTTATTGTGACTCATCGCCTGCATACAAAGCTTGTCCCTCACAGACAAGTTAAACTCTCCCAACTATCACTTAACTCATAATTACACAGACATTTGACCCATCAAGCATTCAATTAGTAATTACCTAAATTACTCTAAACCGGACAGCTAATTAATCCCAGAACAAGTTACATTATTGGATACTATCACTCACTTATTAGCTCATCACAATTCTATCCAAAGTGCTATGAGGACGTTAATTACCCTTAATTACCCTGAGCAATTAATAACTATCCCACGGATCGATAATTAATTCTACACGTATACATTACTCTCAACACTGGTTCAACAGTTCTAACATTAAAACAGTGTAAATCCACTGAGGTGCTAATTACCCCAATTAACTGGAGTGATTAATTAACTGTACAACGGACCGATAGTTAATCATGATGTCTACGTTACGATCAATGACTTTACCCTCCTGAGAGTCAATCAAATCAAAGCCGGTCACTAATTAGCCTAATTAGCCAGCATACATTATTACCTGTCCAACTTACAGATAATCAGTACTGACCGTGCTACTTTTAACACAATTACGTTGCCTTCTCGTGAGCCAATCAAACCCTGAATGGAGTTAATTACTCAAATTAGCTTGAGTAATTAGTTGTCCCACGGACCAATAATTATTACTGCACGAATTACGTTACTCTCCACACTACCTAAGCAGGTCTCATCACTGTGAATTCATGAGGTGGTGTTAATTACCCATAATTAACTTGAGTGCTTAATTAACTGTCCCACAGATATAATTTTAGATATTGATATTGTAATGTTTACAGTCTCCGTGGTGTAGTGGTAAGACACTCGCCTGGCGTTCCGCGAGCGCTATGTCATGGGTTCGTATCCTGGCCAGGGAGGATTTACTGGGCGCAATTCCTTAACTGTAGCCTCTGTTTAACGCAACAGTAAAATGTGTACTTGGATGAAAAAACGATTCTTCGCGGCGGGAATCGTATTCCAGGGACCTGCCCGAAACGCTACGCGTACTAGTGGCTGTACAAGAATGTAACAACTCTTGTATATATCTCAAAAAAAAAAAAAATAATTCAACAAATTATGCTAGCTCAAATAACTTTCGCCCTCCTGATAGTCAAACCCCCGTGACGTTAATTGCTATAACAAGCCACTAATTAGCTTTTCACGGACGGGTAATTAATCTAGAACAATTACGTTACCACAAATACTGTCGTCCTATCGACGGTCCCTCACCACTGTGTGTATTTACTAATGACTATGATGATGCTAATAACCCTAATTAGCTAGAGTAATCAATTATCTGTCCCATGGACAGATAACTGCACCCAAACGTATTACGTTAATCTCAACCCTGTCTCAACACGACAGTCCCCTCATGAAGCATTGTGGTACCCTTTAGTCTAGTTAATTACTCTCACCGAATCCTTAAACGTCATTAAAGATCACACCAAGGTCTTGTTGCTCGGACAAGCAACCACAGTACACACACTCGGTGACATGTTACTATAATAAATGTCACTGCTCATTATTTGCAGCATCCTGCAATATATTAATTACTGTGATCCCCCACACACAGTAATGTCACACAACGCCACTACAACATGAGGTACCGATCCCTCACGGTAGCTCCTGTAATAAATCACGATAGCAGGACACCGTACGGATAAGGAAATTAATGATTAACACGGCGATAACGGTGGTGAAGGCTGACCGGCCACCGCCACCTGGGACAACTTGCCCAAACCATGCCGGTCCTAGAATGCCTTTTGGCGGGCCCAGGAGAACGCCAAGACACTCGTCTTCTCTGACTTCCTCCTATTCCTCCAAGGGCCCAGCCTTGGTTTCAGTCGCTGCTTGCTCGGTGTCCAAACCCGGGGGTCTTCCTGCGGCTCTGCCTCTTTCAGCAGATCAGGCAAGTACGTTACGTAGCTGGTTCGATCTTCTCCTCAAATCTTCGCATCTGGTCTTTCTGGCACGGGTCTATTACCACTTGTATGGTGATCAGGTGGCTTTGTCGATGGTGTCCAACCTGCATGTTTTGTCTTGGTGGCAGTATGAAGTTTCCTGGCAGTCCTTCTTATCTCTTTGTAGGTTTACTTCTGTCTCTGATAAGGTTGTCTTGTCCTTCCTTTTTGTGGTTGTTCCAAGACTGTCATCTTATGCTGAATACTGTCGCCTAGTATCGTGTGGTGCTGGCAGAACCGCTGCAGCTTGCATTCGGCATTGATGTTATGTCTGTACCGTTCCGCAAGTTGTCTCGTACGTTGTTTCACCTCCAGCCTGCTCATGCACCACCTGAGCCGTCCTGGTTGTTGGACCGGGTGCTCGCTTTTCTCTCTCCTTTTCGGTGTGAGGTGGGCCCCTTCGGTTCACGATTGTTTGACGAAGACTTTTCTTTTTAGCATTGGCCTCTGGGGGCAGGGTTGGGGAGCTTCATGCTCTTATCCGGTGTGGAGGTTTCTGCTCTTTTGGTCCTGGTGGTAGGTTTGTTCGTTTGCAGCCGTCTCTTTTTCTGGCGAAGAATGAGACTGCTGCTTTCCGGAGGGGCCCTTGGGTTGTTAATTGGTTGGTTAGGACAGGGGTGCATCATGTGTTGTGTCCGGTTGTGGCTCTCCGCTGTTACCTGTGCACCACAGCCTTGGTGGCCGGGGATGTGCCTTGGGTTGACCCGGTTTCCCTTTTTCCCTGTTCCAGGGTTTGGGTCTCTCAGGTCATCAGCAAGGTAATTTGGTCCAGCCAGCCTGCTGTCTATCCTTGTGCCCATGACGTTTGTAAGTTTGCTGCGCTTGCTGCCACTTTGGTAACATGTCTTGGGCTGACATTCGAGCACAGGGTTTTTGGAGGTCAAACAGGGTCCTGGCCACTCGCTATCTTGTCAGTGTTCCTGGGCCTAGTCGGGCCTGTGTTGCTTTGGGTCGGCAGTTTCAGTTAGTTGTCTTGGCTTTGCATTAAGGAGCGAGGGCCAACCGCCTCCCGGGTAAGTCCCTTCTGATTTCGACTTTTGTGATGTAGCTAAAGGGAGCCGAAGGGGCTCCCCCCAGAAAACCAGCGTTGAATATAATGAAATGGCATTTTCTGGGTGAGACCCGGAGGCTCCCCGGCAACCCTCCCGGTCGGCGTATTTTTTGCGTGTTTTGACATCTAGCCTCTGAACTGGGGGTTTGGATAGCTGGTGTGAGGGTTTGGGGCTTCCCCCTCCCTCCTGGGAAGGGGGAAGACAGTACCGTAACATGGTGACGTCATGCTCGTTTGCTCGTTTTCCATTTGGGAAGTCCTGTCCACTAATTCGGCTTTCATTAGCAATATTTTAACAAGAATAGGGGTTTGTTTGGGGAGCTTACCTTTCTGGTTGCCTCACCCGGTCGATGGCAGACAGAATGCTTCCAACCACACTGGGTTTCTATAGGCCATTGCTCTTCTTGCCTCTGTGAGGGGGGGCCAGGTTCTGGCTCGTCCCCGGTAGGCCTAGAACTCCATGTGCATTGACTGATGCCAGAGTCTAATGCAGTATATTTATATCAGCCTGTTTAGCTTCAGGGAGCCTCCGCGTCTCGCCCAGAAAATGGCGTTTCATTACATTCAATGCTGATTATTTTAGGTCAATTATTATTATATTTGTTAAATGATAGTTACACTTGTGTGATGTGTATTAATTACACTACATATAATGACGTATATTAGAAGTTAATGCCAAATATATAATGTTAGTTAACACAAATGACATTGGAAGCCTATCCCAAAGTATTGTGTGTTTAAACATTTTAGGCATCTGTGCTTTTTCACAAGCATGACTTTGCACATGTTCTCGCCATCAAAGACTAGAATTAATAAATCAAAACATCATAATTTGTTATACTAATTTAAAAAAAAATTTGGAATAACCACTATTTTACTTGGTAAAATGCTTACATATGAATGATTTAAAACTGTAAATGAGTGGCTCATTCTTTTTATTATTTCTATATACTGTACAGTACTTATCAGGTTCATCAGGTTCACTTTATTTTTATTGAAGAATGTTACCAGAGATTAATGATTACCAGGAATGTTTTATGGATATTAACAAAAATGTATTTAACAAAAATGTATTATCATTTTGAGCTTTTTCTGTGGGCTTGGGTGAGGATAGCCCCTTAAAGCTGTTGTTAATGATAAAAAGTATGACAGTAGTTTTTCTGGACTTTTAACAAGACTTTTGACAACATTTCACATGAGAGATTACTTGAAAGATTGAAGCTTCTGTGTCACATTTTACTTATGGCTGTTGATTTGTTTATAGGACTGTGTGAAGTGGTGGTACAGGTGGAGCCAGCAGCCGCCCCGGTGGCTGAGTTTCCCTGCCTTGCAGACACTGACTCTCCACCGTATATGCATGAAGATCCACCGCCTCACTCTCTTGACATTGCTTCAGGTTTGTAGTTTATGTAGGAGAGATAATCTTATGTTGAAGCCAAACTTGAGCCGAGGGTTTGTATTTCAAGAAGTCTTGTCTTTACTGTGATTTATGGCTGTGGTATAAATTCTTAGGTGCTGTTGCATTTTCTTTAACCCTTAAACTGCACAACACATCATATGATGTGTTGAGTAACTTGGTATAAATTGTGCATCACATCATATGATGTATTGGAGTACTACGCAAGATTTAAACAGCCCACGGATACATGTGGTTCACATCACCTTCATCAGGGCTCTTGTAAACGGATGCCATTTTTTTTTTTTAAATCGTGGGCCAAATTCCCGGGTGTGAGGGCCTCAGTATTGAGTGAGCCACCAAGCCTAATGCACGCAGCATGAGCTCACAGCATTGCTGTTCAGCTTGTGACCACAGCATTGCCTAAAAATGCCATAATATATATGTTCATGTTATTATTTAGCGATGATAGTATTACAGAAGACCACTGACTGATAAAAATGACCAGGATTCTGATAATAACAGGATTATTGTGATAATTAGCGCTGTAGTGGGAGGAGTAATCTTGGTGGGGAGGGAGGTAGTGTTGTCTGCTGACTGTGTGTGGCCACCTTTTACTGTCGGACTCACTATACCAGCTTAGTTGTTTGCTATGGTGAACAAAACATGCAGATACTTATATATAACATCTGTATATAGTGAATAAAAGCAAAAACAGTATTGTGGGAGGAGAATGGTGGCGAGTCAGGTGAGGTGAGGGAGGGAGGAAGTGGCAGCCAGTGGCGGGTTGCCACTGGCTGCCACTGCCACTCAGCATACCAACTTAGTGGTTTGTTATGGTGAACACGAATGTAGATACTTATATATAACGTGTATATACAGTGTAATAACAGCAAAAGAAGTGTGGGGGAGAAGCCATTTTGGTGATGAGGGTGGCAACATCTGCATGATTTGTCATGTTGGTAGGGGTGGCCACTATGCTCTTTGGGCACTATACCGGCTTAGTTGAACAGTTATGGTGAACAAAACATGTAGATACTTATATATAATGTGTGTATATAGGGTAATAACACCACAAACAGTATTGTTGGGGGTGAAATTTTAGTGCATCTGACCTTGAATGTGTGAGGGAGGCAGCCGCCAGCTGACTGTATGTAGTGACGTCTCTCAGTGCCCGAACTAACTATATCAGCTTAGTTGTACAGTTGTGGTGAATACGAATGTAGATACTTGTATATAATGTCTGTATATAGTGAATAAAAGCAAAAACAGTATGGTGGGAGGAGAATGTGGGTGAGTGAGGTGTTGAGGGAGTGAGTGGCAGCGAGTGGCTGGCTGGTGTGTTGCGGTCACTCCTCGTTGCTTTTTGACTCATAATACCAACTTAGTGGTTCGTTATGGTGAACAAAACATGCAGATACTTATATATAACCTGTGTATATAGTGTAATAACCGACAAAGTATTTGTTCACTGTTTGATGAACATAATAATTAATCAACATTATGCTCACCATAATTTTGAGTACAGCAATAATTCACTCATTTTAATATATAAATATATGACACTACACACTATTGAATAATATTACAGCAAAAAACTACGAAAAATCAATCAGAGACATTGAAATAATTAGGTAATTATCTCTTTGTGGCCACTCCTGCCTGACAGCTGGGAGCAACAGACCGTCTGGGAGGCACGCTGAGTCAGCGCCTGGTTTTTGCCAGACTTCCCCGCCCTATAGCGGGCAATATATGCCACTTACGATTTTGTTATTATTTTTCCCATGATCAGAGAACACAAATTAACAGAGAAGAATTTTTCAAATGCTAATTAGCCCTGAGCAACACAAGGGTTAATTGTCCCCTTGTATTTGATCCATTATTATTTGTATGGGATCTTAGTGTACCTAAATATTTTTGTTTGCTCTATTCATACATAGACCACTCGCCACCATGTGCATGCATATTTCTTCCAGTCCCACTAACAAATTTGAATAGATTGGGCCATGGCACCAGGCAACTGTACTGTACACATAAGCCACAGGTAACATTATGAATCAAAATATTTAGATTTACTCTACATTATCAGCTACCTGAGTGTCTTCATTTCATCCCATATATAAACATAGGCTGAACCTGTAGTTCAATCTATGCTCTCTGCCCCTCAAATACCTTTGAGGGGGGGCTGGAGAGCCCCTCCAGCTTCCTGGAGCTATACCAGGCTAATATGCATATATTAGCCTGTGGCATCAGTCAATTCAATTGGAGTTCTAGCCTACTGGGGACCACGAGCCAGAACCTGGCCCCCTCAGAGAGGCACGAGCAATGGCCTATAGAAACCCCCATGTGCTTGGAAGCATTCTATGTCTGCTGTCTACTGGGATAGGCACCCAGAAAGGTAGGCGTCCCAAAGCAGACTCCACCTGGTTAAAATTGGTACTAAAAACTGAACTATCAATTCTATCAATGAACTATCGAGGGAGCCGAGTGGACAGCACACTGGACTTGTGATCCTGTGGTCCCGGGTTCGATCCCGGGCGCCGGCGAGAAACAATGGGCAGATTTTCTTTCACCCTATGCCCCTGTTACCTAGCAGTAAAATAGGTACCTGGGTGTTAGTCAGCTGTTACGGGCTGCTTCCTGGGGGAGGAGGCCTGGTCGAGGACTGGGCAGCGGGGACATTAAAGCCATGAAATCATCTCAAGATAACCTCAAGATCAAGCGGAACTCCACAATCTGAAAATAGCAAACAAGCATGATGTCACAACTGCCGCCGCACCGCTATCTGTGCATCTTCTCCCTACCTGGGAAGGGGAAGGAGAAGCCCCAGACCCCTTGTCCCGACTACCCAACCTCGATTCAGAGGCTGAATATTAAAATGCGAAAACAGCCAACTGCAGGGAGGGAGGGTTGCCGAGGAGCTTCCGGGACTCGTCGAGAAAGTGGCATTTCATTACATTCAATGCTTGTAACGACCGCTTCCCTCTGTAATAATAACCGCGGCCTTTATTGTAATAACCCAATGTTCCCCAGTATTAATCCTGTTATCTTGTTATCTCTCGTGATCGTAATATACGCTCTCTGTTGTACATCTCTGTCTCTTCACTCAATACCCCAGCTTAACACTGTTACAGTCCAGCATGACCCCTCACTGGACTGCCACGTATGTAAGAGGAATATTAAATGAGGAAGATACACCAAGGACAAGGGTTATTAGTTAAAAAAAAAAACAATAACAAAACACATTTACACTGCCACCACCTTCCTGACCAACCATACCTGAATGTGTCAATCACCGATCCCCCAGGAAGGCAAGGAATCAGTAACCATGGGACTCCGGGTAATATGAATTTCAGAAATAAATTTTGGAAAATTAGTTTGTGTAATTTACGTTACTTATTTGAATCCAAGGGCAACTTTAGTATCTATTAATAGTAGGAGAACATGGGGCTTCCAATACAACCCCTAAAAATGACAAAGTAGCAAAATATATCAAAGGGGAGTTAAGTGAATACCACTGGACAAGCTATACAATTTATTTTATGAAACATGTAAATTAAGACAATTTGAACACATAACCTATTCTATTCCCTAGAGGCACAATGGATATTTACCGAGGACACAAAACTCAAGTGCACTATACCTTAAATACCCGCACTACGGCCAAGATGTTGATGGCTGCCCTCAGTCCCGAGGATACGGGCGTGCGGCCCTGTTCCTAATACACTCCCAAGACACACTGATGAAATTTAGTTTTTCCAACTTATTGCTGGGAAGGATTGCTCCTCCCACCATCTAATACAGCCCCAGGGCTCCACCCATTATTTTGGCCCTGGCCAACCATTTAACACGTAGGCCTGAGGTCTGGCTCTCTAGGGCCAATAAGGACTTGGCCCTTATCTCAGGCCAATCACCGTCACTGATCTGTCGTGGAAAGCTACATGAATTTCTGAAGATTGAGTCAGCTCTCCCCAGCTAAAGAGAAGAGGGACAAGGCGCGTCTATGGAGCCCAGGCACCTGCGAGCAATGTTTACAAAACTGATAATTTATGTTCAAGCCTGTCTCCTCTAAGATAGGAGTAGGGACATTTGACTCTGCCTGGTATGGGGAAGGCCGCTGCTGAGAGGGACAGAGAGGGATGAGAGGGGGTGGAGAGGGAAATATCTGAGTGGGGAATTGAGTGGGAGAAGCCAAGGTATCCACGACCACCCTACCCTCAGGTCAACCTCTTGACCCTGACAAATGGGCGACAGGGGGGGGGGAAGAGGAGGAGACGAATGACGGCCAAGGGGAGGGGAGAGGGAGAGGGAGAAGGAAAGGAGGGGAGAAGGGGAGGGAAAAGAGGGGAGAAGGGAGAACCAATGATCTGAGCCCCAGATCATTACAACTCCCCCTCCTCGGAAATTAAGAAATTTGTGTGTAAAGCAAGTTACACACACTTTTCTTATCCAGAAATCCTGCCCTACCCTAACCATTAACTCCAAAAACAACATTTTTAACCCAACACTATTTTAAACCAATGCCTCAAAACAAAAGAAATTATCTAATCCTAACTAATTCCATACAATACTCCAACAACAATAACGGCACACCCAAAAGGTGTGCCCCAGCATGTATTTATACCTATCAACACAACAGTAATAATACATAAAACATAAGGACAGAGACCGTCCCTATAATCCTGACTGTCCACTTGGATGCAGCCCCGTACCCTTCCAACTACCTGGAAGACAAAATATCCTATACCTGTCTTGATATAGTAACAAATAACTGGAGAAATCCCAACCTAACAATTACTAACTAGCTAAAATCAGCTGATAGCCTTCAGCTATCCCAGTATTCCACCCGGAATAAAGATCAAACACATCACACAAAACATTAAATAAAAAAAATCAATGTCATTAAAAAAGTTAACAAAATTATAAAATTATATCAACATGGAAGAACACTACCTCTCAGGGACCTAGTGTTCCACTCCACACCTGTGGCAACTGTCCAC